TAACTTGCTCGCAGAAGGAGACGGCAGAGTTCCACGCACTCTCGCTATGCACGTTAGCGCAATCAGACTATCGAGCGAGAGAACTCCCACTCCGATGGCCGCCACGAGGTCTCGCCTCTGCTCAACCCACGCCGGGCACTCTGCTAGCGTGTGGAGAGCCGTGTCCACGGTCTGGCCATCGCCGTGGTGGCACTCAGGCGTTGGCTCCTTGCGGAAACTCTACGACACCTAAGGAACATTTGTGCTAAATGTCATGCTTCTAGACTTAGCGGTTTCGGCTCTGCGTTGATCGATCAGTCAGTGAAACAGTCTGTCAATTTCTTCTTTTATATATATAGATTGGTATATTTCAGTTTACATTAATTTTATTTTTTCTTTTGATATTTCAGCAATTTTTGGGTATAGGTGACTTTAGCAGCCGTGATCAGTACAAACCCAGTATGAGACGACCCTCCGTAAGTTTATTTATTACACAAATAATATCTTAAGAGAACTCATTAACTCTTTGTGTCATTATTTTAACACCTTCAAACAAAGGACTTGGAGGTACTTGATTTGATAGTATTTCTTTTTATGTTTCATAATCATCATCTGTTGAATTCTAACTTAACTAATCATCTCCTGGACATAGGCATCTTCTTAGAAATGAGTTCTTGATATAGGGTTTGTTTCAATATTTATTTCTCTTTCCATTTTGGTTGTCCTGCGTAGTTTCCCCCTTAGTCGGTTCTTACTAGCCGACAAAGAGGGTAAAAAACTACTTTTATGTTAGTTCCTTCAGAACTCCGTCATTAATGAACCGATTGGGAAAATTCTTTATTTTTGTTGGAAAGGCATACTTTATTTTTTCGTCCCATTCAAATTTAACAAAAAACTGTTATTCGTGGTAGTCTATACCGGTGTGCGTGCCAACTAAGCTTTTATTATGACAACCACTAAACTGCAACAGTTTAAAGTAACTTAGTGGCCAACAGTTGGGCACAATTTAATTTTTACGGTGTCACAGCTGTTAGAATCTATCTAGACATTAAAATGATTTTGGTATTTTTCAATTGTAGTTTTAAGAGATAATTGAAATATTCTTAATTAAATAACATTAATATATACATTTTTTTTTTGCATAAGAGAATTTAATGATCTAAAATTGTTCAATTTTAATTTTTAGAGAAAATTTACAACTTGTTTGTTCATTCATTACATATTCTTTTGTTTAAATGAAGCTAATTTATGTTTTTATAGTCTGAACTTTCTATAAAAATAGTTCAATGATAGTTATATTACACTGGATGTTTGACGAAGTATTTCTCTGACATTTTCAGTACAAACAACTTTTCGTAGATGCAGATGATGACACCTCTTTTTATACGTTTCGATCGAAGGTAAATTTTAACGTATAAATTATTAATAAATAATTATGTTTTTATATTTGAGGACATCACTTGAACTGAACTAACCAAAAAATATTAAATAAATAATAAAGGAATTTTAACTAATCCTGCTTGTTGTTGTTGTCTTCGGTGGTAGTGTTAGCGTATGCGACTGCTGTTATGAGGTCTCGGGTTCAAATTCCTCGGTCGGATCAAATGTTTGTATGATCTGCAAATGTTCGTTTCGGAGTTTGGATGATTTTTATGTAAAATTCGATATTAAGACTTGTATGGAGATAAATAAAATATATTATTATTATTCTCTTTATTACATTAAATAAACATATACGGGCTTGTTGGTCTAGTGATTAGTGACCCTGACTGCTAAGCCGGAGGTCGTCGGTTCGATTCCCAACCAGGACAAATATTGTGTGATGAGCACAGTCATTTGTTTTGTGTCTGAGTGTAGTTTATCTATAATTACATATAATAGATAAATTAAAAGATGTTTCATAAAATATATGAGTATGTTTATCAGCAGTCTGGTTAACATAGCACAGGTTCTGCTTAGTTTAGGATCAGATCGCCGTGTGTGAGATCTATGAGGTATATATGTATATTATATATATATATATACACATAAATTACATTTTTCAATATATTAATGTACAAAAAACAATATCCATTTAAAATGTGTCCCATCGGTATCGGATACAGGTATCAAGATATCAGGTGGTTATGACTCCAGAGATAGAAACCTCCTTATAATACGTGCTGTATCGAGAAGAACTGCTCTCTTTCTTTTCCGCCATTACTATTATTATTTACAAAAAACCAGTATATCAGTATTCTATCAGTCAATCTGGCTTTCATATTACAAGAACTGTTTAGTTTGAAACTAGATCGCGTTGTGTGTCAGATGACAGAAAATATTATTATTATTATAATAAATTGAGTCAAATTTAAAAATCTCAATTCCAGTCCAAAATAGCCAACACTACAAAACGGTGAACTGTGTATTTTTTAATAACTTTCCAATATAGTTAACTATCAAATGATAGGGCTCACCTAGCAGAATGCAGTATGCTACGAAAAAACTAAATACAACTACTACGCCTAAATACGCCTACAAAATGGCTCTTTTCATATATTTTCACAACCCCCCTCAATGCCCATATTGAGGAGTTTCATACAGAGTCTCAGGAGTTCCATACAGAACGCGGTCCCTATAGAAAGAAAGGAACACCGTGGTCCACACGAGGAGGCCATCAGTAAATCGTAGATGGGCCGGGGTCCGTCGGGGTACCAAGGATTTCCTTTCTAAGTTACGCCTAGTTCCTGGGCTACTGGTACCGAAGACGGCGTGCGGTTTCTAGTCGGTACGAGACCGACATAGATTTGTATACAGAGTCAATTTGATCATATTTCCACATTATCATTTTGAAACAGATCTACGTAATTTACGTAGATCTGTTTCAACTGCTATTTGTTATACATATGGACTGTAACATATTTGTACGTTTCATTATTGCTATTGCTAACATTTTTAAAGTTTCACATCTTTCAAATTGCAATATTTGTCGAGGAAAACTGTGCAGACATTGTGAAATTACATTTAAATTGAGAACATGTTGGCAATATAAATGAAAGAGTAACACAAAGGCTTTTAAAGTTTGAAAGAATGAAACAGTCTGTCCTTAGATATATATTTATATTTTTTGTTTTAGTTATTATGGCGTTGGTTCTTAAGTATGCATCAGATTTCTGTCAACCTAAATTAAGTCTTGAAGTTGATATATCCTCCCAAATAAACAAAAAAAACCCGGCAAGTTCAACCGTTCCGTATCATGTGCCACAATAATGCAAACTAACACGTAACTAAAACATAGATAAGACAAGAGCGTTTTGTTGTTTTATATCATAAACATTTCACATTAACAGTTTCGGTGGCCTGTAACGTCGAATTAATTGGTCGACTAACCTAACGTAAAAGTTTACTTGGCTGTGATAATTTTTCTTTTAAATTCGTAATATATGCTACCACCGAAAGAATAAGAAAGATATTCGTAGATCAGTAATTACACTCGTACCTAAAGAATTAATATTCTTGTTTTGTTTTAGGATATAATATCGGAGCCACGGGTGAGTGAAGAAATTTGTACTTATTATAAAAACTGACGGTAAAATGGTATTTGTTATCTTGGCGCACACTCATTAGGTAGTAATTAATTATGGTAATAATCTCCTGGGACGTCTATATCTAGACTTAAACTAGTTACAGGTGGTACACATGGGAACACGGTTAAACCCATATACCCATCATCATCATCATCATCAGCCTATCGCAGTCCACTGCTGGACATAGGCCTCTCTCATTGCACGCCACTTAGATAGATTTTGGCTTATTTACCCATATAGGTACATTAAATATTATTTTCTTTTAGAAAGAAGTACAAAAAAAGTTTGTAAACTTTCGTGTTCATAAAGTTTGTAAATATTAATAAAAAAAAAACAAAAAACATAATAATTAAATGTAAATACTCTTTGTTTCTTGCTACAGTATTTTTTCTCAGTTCGATCTACATTATAATACAATTTGTTTCCTATAATTTCCATTTTCATGTCATAAATAAAACAAAGTTATTTTCTATTACAATCCTTACCCACGAAAAAAACATCGTCCCAAGACACAAAGAAGTGTAGTTTACTTTTCACAAAAATAAAATCTTTTGCTTAATAAGAAATGAAACCAATATTCTGTTAGAAATATATTAATTACAAACACAATTCACTTTTTATATTTTACTTTTGCATAAGACGCTTTTACGCAACGATTGGGTAGAGGTGTGCATCCTGGTACGCAGGGTTCGAGCCAGCACTAACAGCATCCTGAGCATTATATCGAGTAGGCTGGATTATACGTATGTGAGTCGGTGCTGTGCTGTCTCTGCCGGGATTGCACAGCGGTGACCCACATACAGTAGTAAAATACTTGTAAAAAAACAAAACATCATTGTACACCTTTAAAGAATGTTAATAATCATTTTAGTGTGAGTCCTGGTTACTTGATGAAATAAATGAATTATTATTATTATTAGCCTGGACAACGTATATTTCCTGTTGCTGTTTGGCCCTCTCAGGAGTCACGCGGCAGGGACACGGATGATGTGGTAAGCCTCCAGTTTTGACACAATATTTTGCCCACAGCTTGCCTTGGATGAAAACCTGGAAGTACTGGAGTGGCGGACTTCATCATCGACGCCTCTTAATCAGCAAGAAACTGCCAGATCATCAGTATCGCTTCCATTCGTATTGTGGTACATAATACTTGGCAGGCAAACGAACCGACCTACAAATAGAGTCCATAACTTAAAATCATTTTCAAATATAAAAACAGAGAATGATATTTCTTTATTCCCGTCTCGTCTCATTAAGAAAATCTTACAAGTCATAGGTTTTGGTGTCAGTAAAACCCGATTGGCTTATACTAAAAACCATAATCATTACGGTAATAAATTTAATTATCTTAAAAAAACACAAAAACAAAACAGAAAACCTACGCACAAAAAAGAAGCAATTTATAAAAATGCTAAATTTTATGATAATCTGGTAACTGATAACGAGTACTTAAATATGTTGAGAAATGGACGCCCAGAAGTTGAAGGTAAAGTTCTAAGAACATTAGTAACAGATTTTTATTACAATTTATTGCATCAAACCGCTAAAAACCAAGAAGAAAAGGCTATTCTAGAATCATTCAACAAACACGAAACAGGTTCACGAAAACTAACAGACACCGATTTCAAAGTTAATGATAGAACCAAAACAGACGATGAAATAAATTTTAGCGATCTACTGTTGGAAGACAATGCGTTTATAGAAGAAACTACAGAGATGGGACCAATAGATGCTTCAGAGGTGGGAGCAATAGGAGTTACAGAGATAGAAGCAATAGAAGCAACACCTACACCATCCTCCATGAAGGAAAAAAATGATAATAACAAGCAAGACTTCACTATTTTGCCCACTCAAGATTTTGTTATTACGTATTAGCTTCCATTGTGACGTAGCTTTTTGGAATAAAGTTTGTGTACTAAGTCCAAAAATTAATAATTATAAATCAAACTGACCCAAAAAATCTTTAATATTAACTCCTCTCTAGTTGGAATATAAAATAAAAGTCACAGAATTTTTCTTAGTCTTGGAGTATCCACATGCAAAGATCAGATCTTATGAAGATTAATACTGATTTTTAAATTTTTTATTTAAAACACAAATTTTGTTGTTAGACAAGACTAACCCAGATCTTTTAAACATAGCATCAATAATCATCATCAACAGACTTTAATAGTTCAATGCTGGACGTAGGCCTCTCCGTAGAAAGGAGGTTTTGACCAACTATACGACGCTGGGCACAGGGTTTGGTTTGGCATGGGGTTTCTTTCAAGTTTTGCTTTTCTTGCAAAGTGCTGTTGTTCTACGTCCCTTAACCGGCTCTTACGACGCGGACACCGACTGGATTAATAGAGGTGGTCACACTCAGTATTATTAATCCATCACCACACTGACAGTTCTATTAAGTTATTATCCATATTATTAATGATTTACAAAAGTAAAAATCTTGCGTTTAGAATAAGGTGTTTAAGTCAAGACCTAGTAAAAATAAATTAGTTCATAAATTTTTATTGATTACTATTTTAAACATCAAATGTCTACGTCAAATCACTATATATCACAGGTTTCTATAGAAACATTTAGACATTAAACTACGCTTGATTTCACTTCTGAATCTCAGCCACCTATAAATAGTCAATATAACATTAGTGACGTGCTACCATTATCATCATCAACAGCCTATAATAGTCCACTACTGGGCATGCGCCTCTCCTTAGAAAAGAGGTTCTGACCTACTATACTACGTTGGCCAGATGGGTTGATATTCTTCTCTTTGCAGTGCTGTTGTCCATGTGGTGACGGATTAAGATGTCCGTGTGGTGACGGATTAAGAATACGGAGTGTCACCACCCCAATCCATCCCGTGGGTGTCATAAGAGCCGACTAAGGGAGCAAACTACGCAGGACAACAGCACTGCAAAAAGAAGGAAAACTTGACACGAACCCTATTCCAACCCGTCTGGCCAGCGTAGTGTAGTAGGCCAAAACCTCCTTTCTAAGGAGAGGCCTATGTCCAGCAGTGGACTATTAAAGGCTGTTGATGATGATGATGATGATGAGTCCTGTTATCCTGCGTAGTTTGCTCTGTTAAACACTTCCATCTCTGAAATCACTCTCACAGATTGCAGGAATGCGAGAGGAAAAATGTTACACATTAAAAACACTCAGACTCTCATAAAAATAAACGCAAAACTCATTGTAAATAAATCATAATTTTGTCTGATCGCAATATCGTTTAACCGAAGATTCTTGCTCCTTTTGACCTATATCATCCTATAAATATAATCCTCTACAATAACAATGCCCTTATACTCGTATTTGGCTAAAAAAGGAAGACTCATTACTTCGTTCATTACATTTAGTTCATTCATTGATACACAATTAGTGAGGGAATAATGTTATAATGATTGTTTGGTAAGTGCAAGGAATTGATTATTTGATCTATTATATTTTCTACAAAATACAAACAAAAATGTTTATGATTTCAGAACGAACATCCAAAAGATGGAGTTGTGAATATGAGCGTGTTTTTAATAACAGCATTTGTAAGTATTTTCATTTAGTTTTTTTTATTGTCATTTTTTTCATTTAGTCATTTTTTTTCATTTAATCATTTCTTTATTAAGTCATTTTTTCATTTGCTATTTTTTGCATTTAGTTATTTTTTTCATTTAGACAAACAAACGGGTCACCCGATGGTAAGCGACTACCACCGTGTATTGACACCTGCAACTGAAGGGACACAAATGCCTTGTCCAGTCTGTGAAAACACCCTCTCCCCTCCTAAATATAGGGGAGAGATTAAGCATCCAGTAACCTTACTTTCTCTATGAAAAGCAACGGAGAAATTACTTAGCACAAGTTGTCTGTGGGGCTGGGATATCAGTCATGATGTCCTAATAACAGCAGTTCCCGGATCTCTCCTATTATTGTGTGGTGGGGATGGGATAAAACCATATGATTTATAAATCATATCATCATGCCTGTGATTGATTTACAAAACCACTGTTACTTAATTATTATTATTACGCTAACGCAAGACTTGCGAAAGGTCTAAACCTAAAAAGAAAGGTCGAAATCTTTGTTAAAAATAATTCTGATTGATTTTAATGCCATTTATCTTTGTCTATAACGGAATCACAATCACATGTGAAATCACAATCAAATGAATATGATTTTAAAGTAGCAATAATTTTAATGTCTACTGTATAGTTTTAGTTGTTCCGATTTCAACACACCTCTCAGCCACAAACACCGGTTTTCAGGGCTCAAGGGAGTTTCCACACGTAAAAAAAAAACAGTCATCACCACAGATGCTTGTTTTGTGGTGGGATCCTCCTTTAATTTCTAAGAGACTAAAAAGTGTGTAGACCTATGCCCATAAGTGGACGTCTATCGATGATGATGATGATGATGATAAGCTTAACGTTGTATTTTACAGTTTCAACCTGGCAGACAACCTCTTAACCACGCAGATAAACTCACCGTCCCTGTAGCCACACCAAAACCATTCATCGATAATGTAAGTAAAATACTTTATTTAATAAAATTGGTTACCAACTCTTCGAAATTGTGCTATATCTTGTTTTTAAAGTCATTAAAATTCTACATGAACAGAAGGTCACCGCAAAGCTGATTTGTCTTATAAAATTAGTTTCCAAAGAAACCTTTCAACGAACTTGTGGCGGCTTGTACACATAATGAAACAAAAACTTCCTTCAGTGACATCTAACGAAGACATACCGAACCACGGAGTTACTACTAATCCTGCATCGCATAATGAAAGTTCTCTCACCAATCAGTATATAATTACAACTACCCAATATCAACCCTTGGGCAGTGATCCGTCGGATATGATGTCCTCGCCTGGTCGGAGGCGAAGGAAGTCCTCCCTTTGTGTAAGAGACACATAACACCCGTTCCTCTACTCTCTACAAATTAAATAACTACAACTTACCATTTTTTTAAATAATATTTAATAGTTTAAATTAAGGTCCAAAGACCCACATATATATGTTTACTTTTAAAACGTGAATAAAAATTCTTTTTTATTAAAAATTGCTGACTTAAATGAAAAAAAATTATAAAAATAAAGAAGAGATATGTATGTAATTTTGTCTTCATTTATTCGTTATAAAAATGAAATTATTGAACAAATTCAATTTCGTACGCGACAAATTATTGCTTAATGACTTTAAATAGTCTTCCCCATTACGTAGTCATGTAGGTAAGGTCTACAGCAAAAACAGAAATAAACAAGATTTTTATTTTATCAAATAAGATATCAGATAAACACGTGGCCCACTTTATGGCAAGTATATAATATCTGTGCCTATAAAACTTCAAACCGGGGATGTTATAGAGTCCAATAACCGCAAGAGAAACTATCAAATATCTGAATTAAATCTATCCGAAACCTTTCGAATAATTTAGTAAATAGGAGAAGCGTAAATGAAACGTCATGTTACTCCAAGTTTATATTATTTTTGTATACGTTTGTTGTATCTTAATGTAAACACAATTGAAGCAAATGAGTGGTGGTAATAATCACTCATAAGTTTTCTGTTCTCAGTAGTTTGGTGCCTATAACCTAGAAATAAAAAATCCTCCGTAAAGTTAAATTTGATATAGCATATTGTATAATAATATATTATACAATACAGCATGCTATTTCAAGTTATCTCAATTCTAGCATCTTATCTCTAACAAACATCATAACTACTGATTACTGTTAAATAAATATGCCACTTTCAAGACTTGAGATTATTTTGCTAATGATTACCTACAAGGTACTTACCTTGTAAATGATTAATTGCTTTGCTAATGATTACCTTGTAAAATAGCGGTATTGAATTAAATGAAGTCCTATGAATAGGCTCTTTCAAATCGGCCTGAAATGATTGCCTTTATTTTCTATAACTTCCCTTTTTTTGCTGACCGTGAAATTCATTATGTAATGGAATAACACCAGTAATGTTTTATTTATTCAGTGTTTTATATTCACATAATATTTTATAAGCCCTTGGGACGACAATTGTTTTTACTCACGACTGAGTGGGTTGTGTATCACACTGAGTGGGGTATTTCAAAGTTAATACAGATGCTTAGCCGCACCTGAATGGTGCGATGAGCGACTGCGATCAGACTTCCACAATCTAAGTACTTACTGAAAAATATCGAAGTTCTATAGAAAGCTGTTGTCGGACTGTTTAGGGCTCGAACTACCCGTAACGATGGGCACAGATGTTCGTATGACAACCAGAAGCGACGTGTTAAGAATGGTCACCCATCCAAAAACTGACCTGGCTAGGATTGCTTAACTTTGCAATGTTATAAGCTACTCGGTTACCACTTATATCATAAAAAATCTTTTAACGATATGCAGTCCTTAATCTAGTTTTATTGCTTAAATTACACGATATGGTATCCTCAAGAAGAACAAGAAGGATTTGATTTATTAACGGGTATCAACTCTCCTATGAAAACTTCAGGCCTTAACCCTTCTCTCTCTCACAGTTTAAGGGCCAGGCTGGAGCAATCGCCACGCTTCTCTATTTTCTGCGAATTGTTAGACCTCTTTATAGACCACGACACCCACTTTCTCCTTCATTTGTTGTCTGTACGTTGATCTAGGTCTTCCTCGTTTTCTTTTGTTTTCTATTTTTCCTTCCAGTATTGTTCTAAAGCAGTTGCCGCGATTTATTAACTGGCTAACCATTTTGCCTCTTCTGTTTTCAATAGCATTTAACTCTTTTCATTTAGATAAGATAAAGTAAAATTAACCGCACACCCTCCTACACAGACACATGTACATTGTCGCAATTTACAAACAGAGGTTCAGTTACACACAACTATTACTATGTGGGGGAACGGGTGTCATGTCCTTCTAACACAAAGGGAGGATCCTCCTTGTATATATGCTAATCGGCGAGAGAATTCTTCATATCGCGATACAGGATTAGCAATTCTCATTTAGTAGTTACTCCGTAGCTCGATGTGTCTTCGTTAGATGACGCTGTAGTATGTTTCTGTTTCTTTTTATGTGGGAGTCGCCACAACTATATAAAATTTAGCAAATTATGTTTATTTTGTAAATTTTAAGATTGGACTAGTTCCTAAGTAATTTCTGAGAGGACTGTCGTCATATTCTTTCGTTGCCTTTCACTGAGTGAGTGAGGTTACCGGAGACCAAATCCCCCCTCCCGGTGACTCGAGCGGGAGGGACTCCAAGGGCAGCAACGCACTTGTGACTTTTGAGTTGCAGGTGTCCATTGGCGGCGGTAGTTGCTTACCATCAGGTGACCCGTCTGCTCTTTTGCCCCCATATACCATTAAAAAAAATGCTGAAACACAGGCCATACCTAGTTCGGCGGAGTATGCTGTTCGTAGTTCTATTATCCTACAATTTCCTAGTCCGTGCATGTGAATAACAATCTTTTAAAAAAATAAAATAAAAAAGATATTATTATTGGGAATTATCAAAACAAATAAAATAATTAAATTAATCTAAAATCTCCTATAAGGTATACCTATTTACAGCAAGCTGATATAGAAGAACAGCAGCGCTCGGTTGCAGCCCATCCTTTTTCCTACTACGATAGATCGCTGACCCTTCGTCGAGCTATGGGTGGTATGGACGACGGGTATGCCGATGATGACCCCTTTTATGGGGACAATGATAACCCCAACTTTCCTGGTACTCGTAAAGGAGGAGCTACGCCTAACTTAGGAAGCGTAAGTACCCTTTTTACCACTTGAAAGACTTACCTTACGTTTTATTCCTTTTCCTATTTAACTTATAACTTTGGTTTTATATAATAGCCGCCTATTATGTCACATCACACATATCACCAACAGCTTTTAATGGTCCACTGATGCATAGGCCTCTCCTTTGATGAGCACGGTCATTTGCTCTCTGTCTGGGTGTACTTTAAGTTTATCAGCAGTCTGGTTACCGTAACACACACTCTGCCTAGCTTAGGATCAGACGGCCGTGTGTGAGATGTGTAAAAATATTACATTATATACAGCTGCTGCTCAATCTCCTACACAAGTTCATTTTTTATTAATATGTTGTTTAATAAATACATTTTTTTCCCCTAGGGACGAAGCAGAGGTCTTCCTTCATATGGGGTATGTACAGATATCGTTTAAAGCATATTACTTGCTAAAATTCATGTATTTACTAACAGTTGTAATACCAGTTATTAATAGGATAGTTGTCTATGGTGAAAATATGTTTTTAATTTATATGTAATTTACTTATTTAAATCCTCGTGAAATCAATTTATTACATACGACTATAAAACCAGTAAGCTGAGAGCCAGCGATCGGCAGACGTAAGGTATTTTAGTAAACTACTGTTACACCTGCCGTAGGTGAAATGGGGATTTACTATCCCCGGCGATAGTTCTTTTGGGCGTATCTTGAAGTCTAGACCACTGATATAAATATTTTTGTGTTTCTATAGATATACCTTTTCAGTAAACTTCAGATAAAAATAATAAGTTATTTTTTATATTTTTAAATGTATTTTGTTTTGTATGAATCGTAAATATATTTAAAAAATAATTTAAATGTATTTTAATAAAATAAAGAGAATAATAAAAATATTGTACCACATTCACACAACGCTATCTAGTCCTAAACTAAGCAGAGCTTGTACTATAGGTACTAGACAACTTATATAAATACATATATACTTTTTTGTAAATACATACATTATACATAGAAACACCCAGACCAAATGAAACATTAAATGTTCATGCATACAAATGTTTGACTTGGGCGGGAATCGAACCCGTGACCTTTGGAATAGCAGTCCCTTACACAAACCACTACGCCATCCGGTCGTCAAATGCCTAGTGTAGGCGTTGTCTTTAAATAAAACCGGTCAGGTACGAGTTGCACTCGTGCGCCGAGGGTTCTGTACCTACCCAGATTTTACGTAGATTTTCGCGAAAAATTGTAAGTACCAAAATTATTCTTAATTTTCAACTTTTTTTATTTTTTTGGAGGTATTCCTTTATTTGTGATGTAAAAAGTTTCTTTTTGCCCAATTTCGTGCTTCTGGGTCAACGGGAACTACCACATAGGTTTTCGACCCAAAACCTATAGGATACTTTCGGTTGACCTAGAATTGTCAATTTTGGTTAAAAACAAGGTCTTACAGCACAAGTAAAGAGAAAATTCTGAAAAAAAAAAAAAAGTTGAAGTACGAAACCCTAAAAAAAAAAATAGTTTTAAGACTACACCGCACTATGGTAAAAAGAATGGTATGTACGAAGGCGCGCAGTTAAATAACAGACTTCCTAAAGATATTAAAGAATCTCGATCCATCTTTACTTTATAATAGTTACGGAATCGAGTCTCATAGTTTCTTGAGCTTTTTCCTAAATTCTTACATACTTAAAATTACTTATATAAATGTGTTTTATTTTAACACAATTTTTTTATTTATTTAATTACAAATATATAGTTTCAAAAACATTCCCTGTACTTGTAGTATCAGACGATATTACTTGCCTAATTTCATAGTTAGGTCAACGGGAAGTACCTTATAAATTTGGATTCCGTTGAAAGTGTCGAAATATGCTTTTTTTACGTTAACTTAGAAGTTTAATTTTTACACAGCTTCAAGGGACTGTAGACCTGAGCATATACATATATGGTTTTCATTTCAAGTCTATTCCTCCACGTGCTGCCGAAATAAAGGGGCTTGACAGACAGACGGACGGACAGACAGACGGACAAAAAAGTGATCCTATAAGAGTTCATTCTTCCTTTTGAGGTACGGAACCCTAAAAAATCGCTTAAACATCATGTCATCAAAACTATAAATAATGTTAGTTGAATCTTAATATCAATCATACCAACAAATGCCTTAGCTAACTATTTCTGTACTTAACATATATTATAAAGTTGAAGATTTGGTTTGTTTGGTTGATTTCAGCAATTACTACTTCCAATTAAAAAAACTCTTTTAGTTTTGGATAGCTCTTTTATCCAGGAAGGTTATAGCCTATAACATCACGCTACGGCCAATAGGAGCCGAGCATCAATTAAAATGTTGCATAACCGGGAAAGGTTAAAGTCAAACACATACACAAATATTTTTGAATTACTAGATTATTAGCATCATTATACGGAAATTGATTGAACAATTAAAATGCCGCTTCTAGTTAATCGCTCTAAAATCTTCCATCTTTGTAGTGCGATGTTCGATGCTCAAAGTTATGACAGTGAGGGTAGCAGTTAAAAACATTATTAGATTACTACCGCTTCTAGGTATGCTCTCAAGTAATACTATTGTGTAATCGTATAAATTACGTGCTCATTTTAAGTGAATTGTATTATAAAACTACATGAGAATTTAAAAAACGAACAAAGAAAACCACTAAAGACGTCACAAATTGGTATTGCCACGTAAGAAGTCAGAAATATGTCACTTGGAATCCTTTTTTCCAACCCGGTACTGTTTGAAACGTAAGTGAGAACAGATTATTTTATTTTGGAAAAGTTCATAAAATGTGAACTGAAAATAAAAAAGTTTGTATGTTAGTAAAAGTCAGTTTTATTATTGGTATGAAAATAAATATTACAACAATGACAAATATTTAAGGATTTAAAAAACATTGTGTTATAAGGTTTGTTATTTAAGCGATATTAACGATCGCCGATTACAAAGGAGTTAGAATACCAAGTGTTCTTTCTAATCAGTCTTATAATGCAAACACATTACATAAAAAAGTACTTACTAGTCCACTGCTGCACATAGGCCTCTCCTTAGAAAGGAGGTTTTGGCCTACTATACCACGCTGGCCAGACGGGTTGGTATAGGGCTTGTGTCAAGTTTTTCTTCTCTCTGCAGTGCTGTTGTAATGCTACCTTAGTAGGGGCTGACGACAGCCATGGGATGGGTAGGAGGAACCACACGGACCCTGTAAATAATTACTTCGATTTATTATCATCACAGATTCGTTTCATCACTTTTATTGAATGTCCATTGTTCTGTTACATCCCTAATTTTGATGATATTGCATAGGAATGCAATACAATATTGCTGACTTGCAATAATAGCAAAATGACGTAAATTTAACATTGCAGATCAGCAATAAATACACTATAAATACCAATCCTTTTCTTAAATTAGTCAGTTATTATTCTCTAGTGCTGATATAATTTGTGGTCTCTGACTACTCCCCAACCTTGGTTGGTTTTCAGCAAGGAATTCTAGAGCAATAATATACTCCGGGTCTATTCTGCCCTTCGCTGGGGCCAATAAAAACGCGTATAATTCGTGTTAAGTGGTGTTGTATAAGTTTGTGTCTATATTAAGTTGCCAAAAGTTGTGTAGAGTTATAAAATAAATAATTGTGATAGTCAGTGGTGGTTTTTTTTAAAAGTGCCGGACTGTCCAATCTAACATTTGGTGTCAGAAGAAAGGGGATTTTTGAAGTCCCTCTGGTCGCCTACTCCTGACGACGACCTGCTCGAAACACAACCTGGCCTTAACCAGTTCCTGAACTAAGTTGGCCACCTGCTGTCTCCGCCGTCTCTCTGACGCTCCCTGAGGCCGCCGCCGACTCCGGACATCGCAGACAACGTGTCATCGAACTCCACTGTGCCCAAGGGGTCATTGCCCGGCACCGAGTTCATAATCACACGAGTACAAGACTACGACACACTTTACACCGACCCGTACCTATTGCAAAATCTGCAACGCTGCACATTGCGTCACCGCTGTGTCGCCGCTCCGATTTCCGCTGCATCCATGACATCGTTCTACATACTGCTAATGTTGTGAGTGTTTGCTCGTTTATATTAATTTATTTTTTGTCACTGACATATTTTTGCTAATTTCAGTCTCAATTTTTGCTCCCTTTTTATATAAAAATGGTTAACGAAAGTGGTAAACTTGAAAAGAAAACCGCTCAGTCGTGTTCAAGTATACAAAGCGTAGGATCAGAGGAATTAAATTTTTCAATTTTGACTAAGTTTATAAAACCTTTCGATGGTGATAGAAACAGGTTAACAGCCTTTATTAGAAACTGCGAAAACGCGTTAAACTTGGCCACCGCATCGCAACATAACATCCTCTTTCAATATATAATTTCACAATTAGAAGGAAAAGCAGAGTCCGCCTGCTCTTTAAAAATTTTTGAAAATTGGTCTGAGTTGAAACAGTTTTTAAAATCAACTTTCGGGGAAACCAAGCATAGAGATCATTTATTATTAGACTTACAAAATTGTAAACAAAAGTCTAATGAAACGGTTACACAATATAGCCTACGATTAGAGACATATTTAACGCGATTACAAACTGACATCACACATTCTACTAGGGATCCTAGTGAATTAAAGGGCCGAATCGCTAGCACAGAAGACTTAGCACTGCATACGTTCTTGATGGGCTTACCGAGTCATATCTCTAACGTTTTAAGATGTCGCAACCCTACAACTTTACACGAGGCTATAAACCTGGCTATTCAGGAGGAAAAACTACAAAATTATATTCAGTCTACTAGACCAATTGAAAATAAACCTAGGTGTAAAATATGCGGTAAAATAGGTCATTCGGATAGAAATTGTTTCAACAATCGACAACGTCCTGTACATACTCTTAGTAACCAACCTCAAATATCCTACCAATCACAACCCTCTTCCTCTTTTAATGCGCAAAATAATACTAATTTATTCTGTAAATATTGTAAAAATCCCGGTCACGACATAAC